CAAAATTATATTGTAACCATAAATTTTGTTTATGTACACTATATGGATGGAAATACACCAAATCTTTGCAAAAATAACACTAAATTCTGTAAAATTTACACGAATGAGCAGAGTAGTAGTTTGAGAGTTACAGACATTTTCTAACCTTTTTTTTTGTTGTATTTTAATATAATTAAACAATTTCATTAACCTCCTAACGAAACCTAAATTTTAGGTACTTTCACCCCTAAAAAATAGACACACACGTGGTTTCTTAAAATCTAAGGCATGAATGGATAATAACTTACATTTATGTTGTATTTGTGAAATCCCAGCGCTGTAATCCTACTTATGAATTAGGTATTATTTCCTTTTTCATTTTCATGTCCATTGACCATTGAGAATATGTGATTTTTTATCGCACCATTCTCTAACTAACTTGTGTTGGACAAAATTTTGATGATACACATATAGCTAGAATAAAAGTAATGTTTATAATTTGATGAAAGATTGACACTAAGTTAAACAGTAGTATTTGATTTTTTTAGTATAGTCAATAAGTCTTTCAATTTATAACAAAATTCATTGAACTCATACATTTAGCCCCACGACCACTGCCATCCATCACCACTAGTATTTATCACCGCCACCACCCTCTCCCTCCCTCTTCCTCGCCCTCTTTCTCCCCTACTTCCTCCTTCCTTTCCTTCCCTTCACTAGCCCCCTTCCCTTGGGAGCTCCCACCAAAGCTCGCTCTAGTTGCAACTAGATCTTAGATCGCAGCCTCTCATATCACAATTGAAGCTCCCAAAGAAGCGGGAGGAGAGACCAATGGGGGGAAGGAAAGGGAAGGAAATGGAAGAGAAGCCAGACGGAGAACGAAAAAGGAAAAAAAAGAGGATGAAAAGGAAGAATGAGAAGAGAAGAGAAGGGAGGGGATTGGTGGTGGTGGTGACAGGAATTATTTTAATTTTTAATTTTATTATGTGTATTTAAAATTGTATGAATTAGATTTTTTGAAATGTATTACTGTAAACTCCACAAACAAAAACAATCAGCAAAAAAACAACCTAGGCTCTTAAGCTTTACTACGTACCAAAGTTCACGGCTTGTAAGACTACTTACAACTTGTGGAAAAAGATAAGCCTGCGATCATACTTAAATTATACTTTTTCCATGCTATCCTTCCTTGCTGAGTTGGTTGTTTCACATTATTGCAGATAATCGGTAGAGTCATATCGATCCGAAACTGATGGAGGATCCCACCAAGAAACAACAATGAATAAGTGCGTCAGATTTCTTCTTTTCTCAGCCCGCAAACGAATTTCGTTGACGCATGAAATATATAGATTTTTTTTACATGAAATACGTTGCTTTAAAAATCCATTGTTGAAACTTTGTTCGTGTTTCCTATACAATCATTTTCAGTAAAACCAGTACAATTACTGCGATGTTTCTTTTCTACATCTTTGGTTCATCGGCGCAAACTTTTGTGCTTGCCCATTTCATGATGTCACAGAAGCCCATTACTATGTCTTTCCTATGTTGGACTTCCAAAAATATTGAGGGTCTTACTTATCCAAGATGGGCTTTTGTGAAGAATGGGCACGGACCAAGTTGGTAGCTTCAAGTTTGGATCTGCCACTTCCATTATTCTCAATTGCTATACAAATTCCATTATTATCAATTACTATACAAACTAATATAAATATAAATCATTTTTTCATATATATAAATAGAATAATTGTGATGCTAATTGGTATCTTAGCAGAAAATCTAATAAAATATAGAGTGTAACTTGGACATTTTTTTTTTTGGCTAAAATAATCTTGTTTTGAAAATTAACATTATTCGAAATCATATTTCTATTCTAATGTTCTGGCTTCCTCTTGTATTCCATCCCAACTTCTTATTTTCTCCTCACTCCCACTTTTTCTTCATTTTTTTTATTGTGTTAGATTCAAAAAATGAGATTTGTCTGTGAGGAACCAAACTCACCTTTTTTTTTCTTTAACAAGTTCATATAACAATTCAATTAAGAAATATTTTCTTATTTTACTTGATGTTATATGGATAAGTTCTGTGATAGTCAAGTCATACACACAAGATATAAGTTTCATCTCTGAATGTTCAACTATATTGAAGATTCTTTGACATTTAGATCACTAACTTACACGCAACTATTTAATTAGTCTAGCAAGTTTTAAGTAGTTAAAGTGGCACTAGTGCCTTTCCTACAGCAATAGCATGAGTCAACAGACAAAGACTGGAATTTAGGCTACAAAGATAGATTCCACCTCAGCCATGACCAATTAGAAGCCTAGGTGACACAATAAAAACTATTAGAAATGGACTATGATTTGAAATTAAATAAATGGGGATACTATTTTGGAAACGAAATTAATGTGGCAAACAACTTTTTAAACAGGTTAACTTCCAATTTCTTCCGTGCAATTCCCGTGTGAAATCTTAGTGCATGAAATATGAATATAGTTAGTACTGCAATTAAAATTAACAACAAATATAGTCGAACTTTTTTTTTTTATTTCTTTTAAGTAGGAGGTTTTGAATTCAGAAACTCCTATTTACAATTTCTTTTATTTTATAATTCAATCTAAATATGTAATCCAACCCTCCTCCAATACAGTCGAACTAAAATACTTTACCTTGAAATGGATAACGCAAAGCACTTAAAATTAATCATATCCCATTCCCACGTGCAACTATAGCAACATCTCTCGTGCCCCTCTACACTAAATCGTTTTCCACCACTTTAAAAAGAAAGAAAGAAAGAACCTATTACTTTCATGGTTTGCTTCCTTTTGCCTTCGACTAGTATGACAACATGGATTTTCCACATCCAACGTAGTTTTTTTTTGTTCTTTTTGATGCAACTTTAACCAAACGATTTGCTGTCTGTGTTTGGTCCAACCAAACAGATTTGTTCAACCCACGTGAAATATATCTTTTCTTGTTGGGGAATGCATACTCAAGAATCGACACATTTTCGTTGGTTGAACCTTAAAACTTGTTGCATTCAAAGACGGAAATCTGTCTTTATTTACTTAATTGTTTTTTTAAGCCTTCCCCAGTCGTCATTTCCCTTTGGGATTCATGAACCACTATCAAAAATGTGTCATGTCACCTTTTGAAGAGTCAAGGAGTAAGACGTATAGAAATTGGATTCATATATTCTTAGGGCCCCAGAAGTGGAGGAAATATATTAAGATCTGATCTGCTCGTCTTCCTGATCCTGTCCCAGTTGAGGTCACCATCGATTTGAACACATATTCCACGCACGGGTCCTTCGTTGAAGAAGGGTCTAATTGACAACTAAGTCCATTGATGATGAGCACGATGATGGCAGCATAAAGAAATATTAGGTGAAGCTAGAGCCCATGTCCTTTTCCTCGAGTTTCAGTTTTGCTTCTTTTCCCACCAGTCTTTCGGAATTTGCGGCTTCTCCAATCACAGTTTTGATTATGTAATGCAGATAACAATAGGGATGGACTTAGTTTGATGTTGAATATGGTAAAATTGACTGTTGGACACAATTTGCAAGAAACGTTAAAAGTTTTTGTGTCTATAATTGTTGTTGTTAATGCCTACACTTACTGCCATAAAATTACACCGTACACTTCGATCTGATGATTATAGAAACCCTAGTTAGGTCTGGCAAACGATTGAGTTAACGTTGAATTCAATATATGAATATGAAAATATTTCGCATACCAAAAATTTGTAGAGTTTGGATTATGGGTAATTTAACTGAGGTCAATTCAACTGGATTTTGATAGACGAACGAACGAGCCAGGGGAATTAGAATAAAGAAGAAGATCTACAATCCGGGCTTCTACCAACTACGATTGAATTTCCATACCCCGGCCAAATGGACAAATTGTCGCCTACCCACATTTGTTTTCACGGTTGACATTATTATAATTGCATGTATCTAGACACAAGACCAATGGTAGAATTCTAGAAGCATGGAGCCAATTGGGAGCTAAGTCTGGCTTTCTCTTGGTCTATGAGCAGAGGACTTTTAGCTTATACTTTTTTGTTATGTTCACACTGTGACACCTAACTACCAATAATCGAATTCCTTTAATCATACGCTAATCTACCCTCAAAAACAAAAATCATACGCTGATCTCTCTTTATTTTAATCATGCCTTGCCTAAAAAAACATGGTAATTAAGAAGAACCTATTCAGAAGAGGCACATCAGTGAAAGCCAGCCATAAATTTAAGGTGGAGCCAATCCTTATGCTTATTCGAGTTGTAAAATTTAGGGTATAATATAATTTATCTAGCTGTAATTTGGCATTTTTTTTTCATATAGCTTTCCTATGATTTCAAAAGGTATGCATAAACCCTCATAGTTTAAATTAAAATATCAAAATGATGAAATTTGCATTCTATAATGGAGTCGACTAAAATGTCAAAAATACACCTGTGTAAAGTTGAAAATTATTTGTTAACTACCGGGAGGAGGGGGGTTTATGTATATATTTTAGAAATATAAGGGGCTTATGTAGTAAAGTACTAAACTATAAGAGGGGTGTTATATGGTAAAACATAAAACTATACGGACTTAAAATATCGTGTATATTATGTTTATATATTTTGGTGACTTCAACCATTTTAATTTTTAAATAAGGATAATTTCGACATTTTCAGAGGTTCCATTATAAAGGATCATTTTCGTCACTTTGATACTTTAGTTCAAACTATGAGATGTTATATATAACTTTTAAAACTATAGGGGGTTATACTAAAAATTGCTAAATCACATTGGAGTGAAGTACATTTTACCCTAAAATTTAAAAAAAAGAACCAAAATTTCTTCGATCTTTTGACTATTGTCCTTCAAATTGATGGAGGTCTAGATATTATTGATAAGAGAATAGGATATTCTAAACTATTGCAGCCAAATCTTATAATATTCACGAACAATCACCATTAATGTCGTGGATAAAGTTGTGAAATGGAGAAGAATCGGAGGACCAATCTTCTCATGTTCTAATATTCCACCATCCAGTCAAACCAAAATTCTATCAAAATCAAAACCACATTTCCCCCCTATTTCCTAGTACCTTCCAATCCCTCAATAATAAATTCCATGACCCCACCGTAAAAATCTCTGGTAATCCTCAACATAAATAGATGGCTCAACCTTCCCAAGCTTTTAGAATTTCAATTTTGCAACTTTCACTAGTCAATTTCCTCTAGAAATTAGCATTGTATTGTTGATCAGCAGCAAGGGAAGGCAGGGCAGGCCATGGTTCCATATCCCCAGGCAGAATTACCTCTTAACGAGAATGACTCACAAGAGATGGTACTATATGAAGTTCTGACTGAAGCAAATGCCATTTCACCCTCAAATTTCCCTTCTTCAAGAAACCAAGCTTCTGTGAATAAGATGCTTCATCGGCCATCTCATGCCACAGGCAAGAAGCATTACAGGGGTGTTAGGCGTCGGCCATGGGGAAAATACGCAGCAGAAATTCGCGATTCGACGAGAAATGGTACTAGAGTTTGGCTTGGAACCTTTCAAACTGCAGAAGAAGCTGCTTTAGCTTATGATAGAGCTGCATTCAGGATGCGCGGTGCTAAAGCTCTGCTTAATTTTCCTTCAGAAATAGTAACAGCATCTGAATCATCGATATTGAGGCAAAGAGTTCATCATAATCATCATGCAAAGCTGAACCTAGATCGACAGGAATCAAATTCAAGTAGTAGCTCCACTGAAGTTTCGTCTGGGACGGGGCTGGGATTGGCTTCATTTGAATCAGAGAATGCAGCTGGGGATTTGTCGAATGCAGAGTCCGAAGAATACGCAGCAACTTTCTCGGTGTTCTAAAATGTTTAAAGACAGGAGATCGAATTTTATTCCACTTCTTAGGAAACTATGATGTATTATAGCTGTGTTTTTTCAATCTGCGTGAGAATTCTCTAGCCATTCTCTCTTCCTTAAATTTTCTTGAGATTTAATCTCTATCCTAGTAAATACTTTGGTCCTGCAACTCTCCAGCAAATATGTTCATGCAGCTAATTTATGTTCAGCTAAAAGAATTGAATCGCCCACATTAGCTGGCTCGGTGCTTGTACTTTGTACAAGTTTAAATTGCTCGATCAAGTTTCTCGAGAACCATAGAAAATGGTTAAAAAGTCCAGGGGCTAATTTCTTAATATTATGAAAGTTTCATGGAGAAAAGCTTTACAAAAAATTTTCTGTCATCACTAGTCGACCAATCGAAAAGTTGTGCCTCTACAAAGTTTTTGGCATTTAGCTTAACAGTAATTAGTTCGTATTAAATGATCTATTGCTTTGAGCGTCGTATCAACCGTAGGAAAATTGGGATCCAAGACTTCCCTCCCGTTTACACTTTTCTGGTTCCAAACGTAGGCAGAGCATGCATCCATGTGGCACAATTCCTACATTTCAAGATTCATCTTGTACATTCTTTTCCAAGGTCGACTGATGAGGCCCTAATGTTATAGAAATTCATAAAATTTTAACCAAAATTTGGATCAAATGAAAGTCATCTAGTAATAATTAATATGTAGTAAGGAAATTAGATCAAGCAGACCTTAATTTAATAATTAAAATTAAAATAATAAGAATTAGAAATCCTGAATTCAAATCTCTCTTTTCCTCCCCTTCTCAAATTTGACCTTTCCTTTGCTTAAAAAAAATGTAATAAGAAAACTAGTAAGCAATCATATCATGGGGTTATGCACTTTGTACGAATCGCTCAATCCTTTAATATTTATAACCACAATATCACATTTTTTTTATATACATAAAAGTTTAGATGGTTCCACTCTAATTAGCACCACGAATCATAGATCAAGATATATTTCTGAAATTATAAATCGTTTACAAATCGTTTATTAATACAGTCATCACACATACTTTTATAAAGAAAAATAATCTGTCCTTACTAGTTGCACCAACTCAATCGGCACCAGAATACCGCATCACTATTCACTACTTGGCCAGACGGGATCCTCTGTCCATTATTTTCTGTCCACTTTCCTGTCCAATATAAAACTATGTAGTTCCACTTAATATATCTACTGATGTGGCACATAAAAAAGAAAGACTTTTTGACTACCTTACACCAGAAAGAAAAAAAATTGTTTTGTTGAAGAACTTCTTTCAATCTTCTAGGCAGAAAACAGTGGCAACAGGTTTTGGGAATTGTAACCGTAGCAATAGGGTTTTGGGAATTGTAATAAAGTTGTGTAAACAAAAGAAACCCAGAAAAGAAAAAAGAAGAAGAAGCATAAGGCAGTCAAACAGCCTTTCTTTTTTATGTGCTATATCAGCAGATATATTAAGTGAAACTACGTAATTCTCTGCATTGGACATAAAAATAAATATAAAATATTGGATCGAGAATCCAGCCTAAGTGTGAAGTCTACTGGCACGCGTAGCGTAACTTTACCAACAAAACAACTGCCCCATTCGACAACAAGCATCCGTGCGAGACCGCTGAAAATGGAGGCACAAGACCGTGGCTGACCAAAACCCCGAGAAATTCTAGAACTGAGTGACAGAAGCACTGACGAACGCCCTACTCCAGCCTGCACAGTCTTGGAATTAAAAATTCAACAACTTGTACTCAGTTTCAGGAGTTTCAGGTGTAATATTTTTTTTTTTTCTGAAACAATAAGTGATTTTATTAATATTGTGTAAAAACTATATATATTTAGCGGGCAAAAGTTCAGTTAGAGGCTTAGAGCTATACAAGTGCACTATGACACTAAGGGTTAAGCCACTCTTCACCCAAAAAGCAAAAATATGCTTAGCTCATAATTGCTAATATGTGTCAGCTCTATCACTAACTTCATTTCTAGACAAAACAAATGAACATTTCACGAACATAGAGCCTAAGCTACTGATGATGTCTTCTAAGTGGGAGTATAAACTCAATTTTCTAGAGTTCGGGTATAAAAGATGTGCCTTCTTGGGCTAAATGCTTGATATTCATACTTGACCATAAGAAATTACTCATAACTGTTTGAGTTTGACACTGTAACAAAACTTTGAATCTTGCGAGACTGGCATTACAGAATAGGATAGGTACAATTTAGCGTCGGTCTGTATACTGATCTCGTGTAATTTTGTGAATTACCTATGTAAAAATTGATGTATTACCCAACAAAAAAATATTGATTCAAATATGTGTAGAATTTATTAGTTTACATCATACAGTCTCCACAAAAAAATATAAAACTGAAACCTAAGATATTTAGCACAACAAATAAAGTTCGCATTTTTAGAAAACTCGCACTAGTCCTCTCCCTCCACGTGATCTCGTTTTAAATTCTACTTAAGTTGTGCAATCTGCAGTTATTTGATTCAGGGTAAATTATACTTTACCCTCTTGTGATTTAAAACAGTTTTATACAATCGTTTTATGATTTTAAAAATTATACATAACCTTCTCATGATTTGAATTATAATGTCAAAATGACAAAAATTCTACTTTGTAACAAAATAAGCTAAAATGTCAACATTACCCACTTTTAGAAGTTGAAATAGCTAAAGTTGCCAAGGTGTAAAATGTACTATAGAATACACTTTACCCCCCCGGGGTGGTTTATTGTTTTCTCATATAATTCTCTTATAATTTTTTTAAATTTATACATAATCTCCTATGATTAATAAATAATTTTGATTTTGACATCAAATATTTTTAGTAATTTAGTAGTAGAGGGCAAGTTCGGTCTTTGACTCCTTAATCCAAATTATGCAGGAGTTGTGTATAGTTTTTAAAACGATACGAGGGTTATGTGAAAATTTTCATGTTCAAAGGGATAAAGTGTAATTTGCCCTTTGATTGAATTGAAGAATGTAAGGGCTGTGTAGCAGAACTCTGGGCTATGGCTTTTGGACTTGAGCTAGCATGGGAACTGAGATTGAGGAAAGTGACCTTAGAATCAGATTCACGGATGGGATTGCAGCTGGTGAAAATATGCTCCCAAGATGGCCCTCACTTTAATCTAATCCGAAGGATAAGAGGTGCCAAGAACAGAGAAGGGGGTTGTCAACTGAAGCACACGTGGAGACAGGAATTGCTGCGCTGACCATCTAGCGAAAATCAGCCTGGATTTAAGCCCGGGATGGAGGAAGCTTGAAGAACCCCCACCATCCTTAAGATCTTTCCTAAGCCATGATGTAATGGGTGTTAGCCAAGCTAGACTAGTCTCTCTGTAGACCCAAAAAAAAAAAAAAAAAAAAAAGAATCGAAGAATATATAATTGTCAAAGGATGCAATTGGTTGTCCAAAGAAACAATCTTGGATCCAACATAATTTAAGAGGACAAACCACAATTCACCCAAGGAAAGAGATGAGAATGATATCCCATATCAATCTCGAGATTCTTCAAATCTCTACCATGAACTCTGCTGCTTTTTGATTAAGGATGATTCAAATGATTCAATATGATAGTCTATAAGTGAGTACACAGCTTTTCCACACACTGGCGCGTAGAAATTATGGTGATGTACAAATAAGGTACATATTGTTGTAACAACATGAAATCTTCACACTACATTTGTATTGCTAATGCTACTTAACCAGTTACGGTAAGGAGAACAAATTTTCTAAATATTCGCTTTCAAGATTTGGAAATTGTAATAAGTTGATGTCACTCATAGCAGCTTCTTCCCAATTTGCCGCTGAAATCTTTGCAGATTGAGCATTGTTGATGAAAGAGTCCTCATTTTCGTCCCATTCTCTTAATACCCTTTTTCTAGAATTAGACATGATTTCACCACAAGTAACTGAAGCACTTGTAGCAGTATCATTAGTCTGACAAGAAGTTGCTGATGAATCCATGTAATCTTGTGGAATAGATTTACACGTTCCCATGGCTTCCGCAACTGTTTCAAGTGGGAAGTTAAGATATGCCTTGGGACCTCTGATTTTCAGTGCAGCCTTGTCATAAGCCATAGCCGCTTCTTCTGCTGTTCCAAAAGTCCCAAGCCATAGTCTACCTCCTTTTCTTGATGAATCTCTTATTTCAGCTGCATATGTGCCCCATGGCCGCCTTCTCACCCCGCGATAATGTCTTGTAACAACCTTCTTGACCTTCATTTCATCAGCTCCCGAATCCATCTTCTTGCTACTGCATGTTTCTTGTGAATCAACAGTCCTTGATGACTCTGTATTGTTTGGAAGATTTGCTCCATCTAGAGGTTGCTCCCATGCTTCGGCTCCCATGGATATAAACGTGCCTAAACTTGGAAGCCTTTCTAGTAGTGATCCGTCTCTGGAATTTAGTCCAGGCAAGTCATCCCATGTTTGGGAAGATTCAACTGGATTTTGGTGTGCATTTTCTAACTCACTCTTGGCTATATAATTAGCCCAAACATTCTCCAAAATCGTGGATTTCTCGTCTTGAGCCATTCCACTTGAAGCGAATATTCTATTAACTTGATAAGGCATAGAGAAACAGAGAATGATCAGGGAATGTTCTCCTCGATTTGCATAGCTTTATATACATTGCCTTGGTCTTTGATTTTGATGGCTCCACTAGCTACGGTTTATCCGAGTACATGAATAGGTAATCCAGTAAGATGCTTGTGCTGCAAATTAGCTAACTTCAAGGATGATACCTGATACCAGGGTGTAGACAACAAGAAAAGTAGCTGGCTTGAGTTCTTTTAAATTGATTGCTGGAAAAGTACTCGTTTGAATTTGTCATTCATTTTAAGTGGAATATGCTTATGGTGTGATTTCATGGATATCTTCCCTGCACTCAACGGTAATCGTGATATAAGGGAAAATTTTTTTAAAAATATCTCAAAAAAATGCTTATACTTGGAAGGTTGTACAGTAGTATTTGGAAATAGATTTGAATCATTGTGCTCTTTACAAGCTCTCTGGGATTACACTAACTCCACGCCACCAGCCTTCATGGGAAAGATTTTTAGTAGTAACACTTTTCAGGTTCATTTGGATGGTCCATTTTTTTTTATTAGAGGAAAATGGAAGGCCCAAACTCCAAAAACTAAAACTTGGCTCTTTTTTCGAGTTTTTTTTTCTACTCTCCCATCTCT